CCCTACTAAACCCCTAAGCCCTAAACCCCTGAACCCCTAAACCCTAAACCCTAAACCCCTAAACCCCTAAACCCCTAAACCCCTAAACCCTAAACCCTAAACCCTAAACCCCAGCCCCTAAACCCCTAAACCCTAAACCCCTGATCGCCTCTTCGCTGCTGCATGAAGTTCTCGGGAATAGCATCGGCCAAGCCGGTGCAGATCACGAAGAAGTCCTGGGCACCACGAAAGGGCATAGCGTTTAGACCTCTAGGGATTGGGGTTTAGGGTTTAGGGTTTAGGGTTTAGGGTTTCGGGTTTAGGATTTAGGGTTTAGGGTTTAGGATTTAGGATTTAGGGTTTAGGGTTTAGGGTTTAGGGTTTAGACCTCTAGGGATTGGGTGTTTTTTGTTGGGCCCCTTTTACCGACAGCAGGGATTAAGGTATAGGGCTTAGGGTCTAGGGTAGGGATTAGGGTTTAGGGCTTAGAACGGCGGGTTTAGGGTTTCAGTCATAACCCTAGACCCTACACTGAATACTCCCCTTATGATAGCCCCTTATAGATCCCTTGAAAAAAACCCTGAGTACTACCTTTCTAATACTTTTCAAGGAACCCGTTTAGATCCCTGTAAAAATCCCTGGGTACTACCCGTGTAGTCCCCCTCTAAGGGAGGCCCTGGTAGGTCCAGAATACCCTTTAAAGGTAGCCCTTATAGATCCCCTTAAAGCAACGTCCCCCTTTAAGGGAGGGTCTGGTAGATCCAGAATACCCTTTTAAAGGTAGCCCTTATAGATCCCCCTTAAAGCAACCTGAAGCCCTTAACCAAGCAGCTTCGGCAGCGCTGCCTCCTGCAGAGCGGCTTCAGGAGGAATGTATAGGGCTCCTTTAAGGGGACTTATAAGCGCCCCACCAAAGGGATTGATAGGGCTCTTATCAAGGCTATAAGGGCTTAAGGTTTCGGGTTTAGGGCTCGGGACTACTACAAGACTAGTATAAGGGTTGCTATAAGGGTTGCTTCGAGGGCTATGGTAGCCGTTACTGTAGGGTTTAGGGTTTAGGGTCTTAGGGCTTAAGGTTCAGGGTGCTGGGCTTCGGGTTTAACGTGTAGGGTCTGGGGCTTTAGAGTTTAGGGTGTTTTCTATCGAGCGCCGCAGGCTGTAGAGCACCTCGTGCAAGTAGCCGGGCTAGCAAAGCAAGACTGCAAGCTAAACCCTAAACCCTAAACCCTAAACCCTAAACCCCCTAAATGCTGTGTTCTCACATGTCTGCTCGGGGTGTGGCATGCGGGGCCTCCAGCGCCTGTGTCGTGGACAGTGCTCTTAGCTAGCGGTAGAATGAGGAAAAACAAGAAAAGGAGTCCAAACCGCGATATGGGAGTTTCCGAAAATAGGGGACCCTAATCTAGTACCCTAAATAGTAGGACCCTTATTATAAGGACCCCAAAATAAGGTACCCTTAATTTCCGGAAGCTCCCATATGAGGTGATGGAAGGGTTCTGCCTGCCCGAACCCTTGTCGACAAGAAAGCTGGACAACGAGGCGCGCATGCTCGCCGGTAGGTTGCATCACGACGCTTCCGGCAACATCTTGGGGCGACGATGTCTCAAGCATTCTGCACAACCATTATTTGTAAACTGCCCCCACTCAGTAACAGCTGAAACCTAATTTCTAACACAAACATACATAAAGGCCTTCATGGTAAAACCCTAAGCCCCAAGCCCTAAATTATAGACTATTACTGTATGGGGGGGGCCCAGAAAATCATCCTCCAGCTCACCAGCACCGCCACCAGGTGCAGCATCAAAAGCATCGGAATATTCGATGTCGGCACCAATAGAGGTTTAGGGCTTAGGGCTTTTAGGGTTTAGGGTTTTGGGTGTAGGGTTTACGGTTTAGGGTTTAGGGTCATTGCCATCAAAGTCATCTAAACCTCGTCAGCTTTAGTCTCATGACTGCAGACCAGCCCCAGCCTACGAACTCTTCCGAGCTGCCAAGCAAGCCCTCGAGATGGGGCTACTATAGGGGGGCGTCGTCATCCTTCGAGTGGTTTGTTGGGGTATTGCATACCATATTCTATAATTTATAATCATAACAGGACGATGAGGATACAAAAAAAACGCTACGACTAATTCTTCACAGAAGTCCGCATGACGCCACTTGCACGCATGGATGATATACCGGGCCTAGGGAAATCAGTTGTTGTCACCCTCTCAGCCCCCCCCCCCTTGGAGGTTCATGGGTAGTTATAAGTGGTGTTATAAGTCCCCTAATATGGGCTATAAAACTATAGTTCCCCTACTTATAACCCCACTTACAACTGCCCATGAACCTCCAAGCATGAGAAACTCCAAGAGCCTTCCACGATGATTCGCTGTGGCGGCACTCGCAGACGTGTTGCACGCGTCGCAAGCTCCTTGACTCTGTCGAGTCCTTGGGGCGGATGATGGATTTCCAGGGCTGAGGCCCTGAATACTATGCGCATGAAACTGGTAGTGCATGCTACTCAGCTCCTGCTCCTACTCTGGATACTCCTACTCCTACGCCTACTCCTACTCCTACGGCTATTACTACCATCACCATCACCACCACCACCACCACCACCACGATTACTACTACTACTACTACTACTACTACTACTACGACGGTTTACTCGTCCTATTCGTCGTCTTCATGTTCATCCTCGTCGCTCCAGGCGGCCAGGCGTAAACCCTAAATACTGTTAGGGTTTAGGGTTTAGGGTTTAGGGTTTAGGGTTTAGGGTATAGGGTTTAGGGTTTAAGGCTTGGGGTATAAACACTGAATTTCACGGAGCGCCTGAACCCTAAACGTCTCAACCCAAAAGCCAGTTCAGGCTAGGCACGCTGTGTGAGGTCGATTGCCGACCGCAGGTTCATGTTTTTGCACAGTGACCTGTTCTCAAAAGGGTCTGTCAGCTCCCGGTCCAGGGCCAGGGTGAAGCATGCGGCAGCCAAGGAATAACATCTACATCCCGAATCTATTTGAGTAGTTCTCCAATTTAGCATCCCTGTTTTAGGCCCCCAAAATAGGATGGCACCCGCTTAAAAAGGGACCCTAATTTAGAGAACTACCCACATACAACCCTTTCAGTACCCATATTAAGATCCCTTTAAGGAGCCGTAAAAAGGGACCACATTTCTCCACCGGTATCCGAGCCTAACGATGAAGTCCAGCTCTTCGTCTGTCAGTTTTCCCGGCACCGGTTCGACACCAGGCATGCGCTTCGCGATGTTCCCGGCGCGCTTGGCATGTCCTCGCCCAGAAGTACTGAAAGTATTAGGGGATGTTCTGGAAGTTAGTACAGTACATCAACGTTACGCAAAGGGTAAGCATCCCTGTAATTACGTCTAAACCCAATACAGGAGCCTACACCCTAAACCCTAAACCCTAGACCCCAAACCCTATACCCTTAATTACTATCTAGACGTCCTCTAACCTCCGAGCCTCCCTTCAAAAACCCCCGAGAATCTCAAAGCCTCTCATGTAGGGGCCTTACTGATTAGAATAGGGTTTTGGGGTATGTTATACTATACTGATAAAAGGCAACCCCACAACCGTATAGGTAACTATTACGGCCGCTATGTTAAACCCCAAAAACCCCTAAACTCACAACCCTAAACCCCCAAAAAACCCTAAACCCACAACCCCAAACCCCCTAAAAAACCCTAAACCCAAAACGCCTAACCCCCTAAAAACCCCTATACCCACAACCCCAAACCACAACCCCTAACCTAACCCCCAAAAACACCTAAACCCACAACCCTAAACCCCCAAAAAACCCCTAAACCCACCACCCAAAACCCCCAAACCCAAGGCCCCTCCACGATCCCTCGCGGCGGTCCCTCGTACATGGCCGCTCTCCGCGGGAAGTGAAGGCACTCGTGGAGTCCCAGGTCTTCAAACTTCTCACCTTCTGGCTTAGGGCTTAGGGTTAAGGGTT